CCTCATGCCAGTATCTTTGAAGTTTCCTCATCTGCACTAATGAACTGATGTTAAGCGATTCCCTTACCCTTCTACTTTCCCTACCTCTTTCCTCCTTCCCTTCCCCTCTTTTGCCCACTACCACCCTCATCTTTCAGTTCCCGTTAGGACAAGGAACAGGTTCAAACATACACTATCTTTGGTTGTGTGTAAAAGGCATCACTAACTAGATGACAAAAGGAAATAAGCCAATTTTAGCCTGATTTGCTCTATCCTCTAACACAAACAAAACCAGCCATGATATTAACCACTCGACGTCTCATTATCCACATACACATAACTTTATTCTCCTGCTCTCTGTCATGTTTTGACTCTGGCAGATTCGTTGTCAAATAATTCTGTTGATTCAGGAGAAAAAAACCCCTTGCTCTCGAGTCAATTCCAACTCATACAGACCCTATGGGACAGAGTAGAACTGCCACACAGAGTTTTCAAAGCTGTAATCTTTATAGAAGCAGAGTGCCACGTCTTTCTCCCCTGGAGAGACTGATGAGTTTGAACTGCAGAAGTTTTGGTTAGCAGCCAAGCACTTAACCACTGTGCCACCAGGGCTCCTTGTTGATTCAGAGTGTGAAAATTTGCCAGTTATGATGTTGTGAAAACATATGCCTTATTATCAGTTGTCTATAGTAGGGTGAAAATGAGCCCTGGTGGTACAGTGGTTAAGCACTTGGCTGCTAACCGAAAAGTTGGTGGTCAGTGGCGTCACTAGCATTGGTGTCACCCAGTGTGGTAACTCACAGTGTCACTCCCTCCCTCACTAATTACCACAATATTTTAGCTGAAACATCAGAAATTTTGACAAAATCAGCAGCTATAAAAACACTGGCAGCATAGAAAACAACAGCAGCGGCGCTTGTAGAGCAAAACCACGAGATTTGAAGCTTGCCTGTAACTGGGTAATAATGACAGCTCTAACTGGAGAGCATCGGAAGATTCAAAGAGTAAATTAGAGTTTTAGCCTTGTAGGTACATTGATACATGTAAACTGGGCTTATAATTTTTTTTGTTGTTGTTATAACTAAAATCCATTGTCACAGAGTCAATTCTGACTCACAGTGACCCTGTAACTACAGGGGTATTTTCATAAAAAATAATAAATTTCTGCTGAAACACTGCACAAAAATTTATAGACATTCATTTTGGTGTCACACCCTCTGACAGCGTCACACAGTGAGGTCTGCACTTTCTGCACCCCCATAGTGACACCACTGTCAGTGGTCAGAACTCACCAGCTACTCTGCGGGAGAAAGATGTGGCAGTCTGCTTCCTAAAGATTTACAGCCTTAGAAACCCTACAGGGCAGTTCTACTCTGTCCTACAGTGTTACTATGAGTTGCAATCAACTTGAGGGCAACGGGTATAGCAGGGTGCTGAAAAGCTTAGGCAAAGTGACCTGTTGATTTTAATGAATAATTGAGGTTCCCAGAGAGACAGACTGTAAGTTAGAAATAGTAAATCAACACAAAAATCTCCCTTGAAATTTCTCCTCAGGTGATTATAATGTGATACACTGTATACATGATACTGTTTTAATAAAATTTTAACTAAACATCCCCTTATAAAGCTAAGAGATTATATCAGTACATAGAAAACTTAGCTGAAATTGTGTTAACTATTTGAAATGTTATCATATGTATCAAATTGTGGGCACTAATGCTTTTGACTTTCACTACTTCACACTATCAAATGAAAACCAGGCAAAAACCATGTGACCCAAGTGCACTCCCTATCTCCCTACTGAATATATGAATACATTTAGTCTCTCAAAATAAATATTTGAAAAGGCAAGCCTTTTTTAATAATACTCTGAGTAATAATTCATGTTTAACTCTAAGATAAAAAAAGGTACCCAATTCTAAAAAGGAACAAAATAATGTAAAGATGTATTTCTTAACAGCGTCTCATTTTTCATCCTCTTCAATCTTACACAGTCTCTAAGATTTAGTCGGAGGGCTTGACAAGAGGGGAGACTTGAGATCTAGTGGGGCCCTAGACTATTAAATCAGACCTCACTAAGTTTTATAACAAAGGAGGAATGGTTTAATCCTTCAATCTTCAGATTAATTAGAATGACAGAGGGCTTTTTTCTTTTTTAAATAAATATCTATAATGCACTTAAAATGAAGACACTTTGTGCAGTGATTTATATAGATGTCAGTGAAAAGTGCCAGGGAAGGTGGAGTACAATGTATTTATAAATACCGTAAGATGGGTACTTTAGACAATCTAAACTAAAATTTGATTAGTCATTTTACAAAAACCTGTTAAAAAAAGGAAAAGCAGTTATAATTATAGTGGAAGATAAATGAATTGAGTTGTCAATCAATATTCCTACTCTCAGCTCTATGACAGAACATGTTAAATGGTCAAAATGCATTTGTTTCTTGAGGTCATAAGAGAATATGTGACAAATAAGGTCAGGGGACACAGGTGGATTTGAGGGCAAAGAATAATTTCTAGTTCCATGCCACATTTCTCTATTCTCTATGGGTTTCCTTATATATATGCATATATGTATGGTTGTACAGATTTTCACTCCAAGTTGCAGGAGAGTTTCAGTTGCTCCACATTCTCACCAATGCTTGGAATTTTGATTTTCACCTTTTCATTGAGTACATAGCATTTTCCAGTGATTTTGATTTGCATTTCCTTGATGACTGAGTTAAGTAGGTTTTCATATTTTGAAATGACATTTTTTATGAAGTACTTGTTCTTTTGGGTGCCATTTCAAACTAGTTAGCAGACCTTTTCAGCCACCATCATTATAACCTGACAAAAGCAGTGCGTGAAGCAGGAGCTGCTAAGTGAAATTTAAGGTAATTATCAATAGCATTCTACTTCCCCTCCAGGAGAAATAATTTTCTTCTTTTCTTTATTATTTTCTTCTACCCATCTTCATTCTTCTTTTATTCTATTCTATTTATTCACCCCTCTATTCTTTTAGTCCAAAATAATGTCAAAGTACTATATAGAGGATTCAGTAACAAGTTTGCATCAGAGACCCAGCGTTCCTATCTTATGTTTGCCAAATATGCCTTCTTTTCTTAATTTAGAAAAAAAAACAAAATGTAAGCACGCTCACCCTACTTTGTTGCAAATGAAAGGGCTCTTCATTCATGTATTTTTAATAGTCTAAATCTAAATGTCTCCTTTTCCTCCCAATTTATGAGCTGATAATGTTCAGTCAACATTTTAAAAGAATATCAGAAGGAAATGGAAAAAAACAGCATTTACTTTAGAAAGAGAAAAGTAAACAAATGAGCACATGAGTTCTTTTCTTTACCTACGATGACTAAATGCAAGTTAAATTTGGCAAAAATAAAGTGGCCGTGACCTTTTTCCCTCCTCTGCATGATTAATTACTTAATGCCCTATTAATTGGAAGATGCAGCTGAATTTCAAACACTTTCATTTTCTGTGCATATCATCCTGTCCTGGAAGCACCGATTAAACTGTTCATCAAGGTGAGCCAACAAGGTCATCTGAGCAGTATCTGTTCAGCTATTCATCACCCATCTTCAGTGGTAATTAACAATGGTAACATTTCCATAAATCAACATCTTTCTGATTATTCTCTGATGATAAACAGTCAAAATGTGTGCGTCTTCCAGCCCACCACTTTTTAATTTTATCTGGAAAATTCAGTCTAAATATACCACACAGAAGACTAAGATGAAAAATTAGAGGAGTTTATTTAATTAAAATGCACGAGGAAAATAAGGTTATGTACCTTTGAAAGAAAACTATGAGCCTATGCACAAAATTAAATGTGTACACTGACATCATAGGGGTCAAACAAAAGAAGAAAAGGATATCAACCACATACTACCGAGCAATTTCTCTGTAAAGAAAATATGGCTCAATTCCACATTAAAAATAACCATATGCCTACTCAGCCATGGAATGTGACACTTTAGAATAGAAACCAGATGTAATTCACCCCATTATCAAAGTACACAGAGCCCTGGTGGCACAGTGGTTAAGCATTTGGCTGCTAACCAAAAAGTCAGCAGTTTGACTCTACCAGCCACTCCCTGGAAACTCTATGAAACTCTGTCCTATAAGGTCGCTAAGAATCAGAATTGACTGGACAGCAACGGGTTTGGTTTTTTTGGTTTATCAAAGTACACAGTACAGGGAAGAGCAATAAAAAAACTTTCCAAGGGATATATTTCCTATATTCGTTTACAAACCAAAATCTGGAAATGCAACTTCTAGATTTTGTCTTGTTGACTTTCTGTCCTCTTGGTTTGCTATTGTTGCTTGTTGAAGTTTTTACTTTTTGTTATTTAAATCATATAAATTAGCAAGCTCAGGGATGTTACTGATAAAATTTTCTCCCTACAATCGCCAGAACTGACATTTTTACTCACAATGGCCTTGTCTAAAATCATTATAGCTAAAATTCACATTCAGTATTAGAAATGTCTTTAAAATAATCATAATAAAATACTTAAAATATATTTTAAACTCAAATTATTAATAATAAACAATCAATCAATTATATATTACGTATTCTATATGCTGGTGGTGGTGGTGGTGGTGTTGGGTGCCGTCGAGTCACTTATGAAACACAGCGACCCTAATTTAATTGAATGGACATAAAACGAGCTAGTCCCACATTTTAGATTTTTTGAAAGGATTTTTTTTGTTAGGCTTTTTTATTTTTATGTTTTCATTTTGCATTTTTATTATATAGGGAAAAAACAATAATATTCTATTTTTCCAAGGACAGATAACAAAGGTATACCATAGTGCACATTCTTGAATAATACAGGACTGTAGAAACTAACTGAGGCAAAGACAAAGAATACCTAAGATTGTTAGATGTGGTCAAGTAAGCACCAGTAAATTAGCTTATTATAACAATTAAATTATTGTTATACCTAAAATAAGAAAATACTAGATACTCCAAAGCTATCCTCCCTAAAATACTTGGTAAACAGAATAGTTCTCACCTTGAGGCATCTCAGGAGGCAAATAATGAGGCTCTTGAGCACTGACATGCACCCACTCAAAGTCGTCATATAGATCCTGGTGGTAATCACAGGCCCCCGGACCATCATCGAAAGTACAGCCACCTGGAAAGAAAAGGAAGGCTGTCATCACGTTCAAAAGAGATTTTCTAAAAATAGAGAAAATGTTGGAGAAGAAAATGTTATACTGAAATATTTAATCCCGTTCGCGTGATTTTAACAATAAACATTACTCCTGATTATCACTATTCTCTAAGTTTTCCAATACAAAGAAATTTCTATCGGTATCTTCTAATTGAGGCACAGATTTTGAAAAATTAAAAATAATGAAAGACACATATACAGTGAGCCTTTCCTGAAATATACAAACCACCTACAATCGAAAACAGTTTTTAAAAACTTTTGTGGGAATATGGGAAGGAAGGAAAAGGGTGAAAATTGTCTCTCTCTATATGGCAAGTTCAAAAAACAAAACTAATATTTAAATCTTGCCAATCTGCTTGCTTTAAAAGAACACACTGATGTCTACTCATGGCGGCAAGGGATACATATGAAGCATATGGGATCCAAAGAGCTTGAGGTAGGTGATGTACTCTTCTATACTTTATTCAGATTACTTTCATACTCAATTATGATTTGAAAGAAAATGAAACTAAAGCATGAAACCTATCAGATTAGTCTATAATTCCCCCACAATTTCCCCTTTATTAAATAACCAATTTAAAAAAAAAATAGAGGTAGCCTTTCCCCTTTCCATCAGTCTTCCTGCCGCCCCCCGCCGGCTTTATGTTCAGGGGTAATTTTATGGCAGAGGTAAAATGATTACTTATTTGCTTCTTAGCCCACACACACACAGGCACATAAAACTTAAGATATTTAGTTTAGTCAAATCATGAAAATAAGAACTAGCCTATATGTCTAATCTTGAAGGAAAATGGATTAAAATTAATGAAAATCCAGCAGTGGGTTTAATGACAAATACCAATAACCTGCCTCCTTTCAAAGAGCTTATTTGTTTAGTTTCCATGGGGATCTTTCCGAAGAAACTCAGCAAATTCTCTGACCAAGCAGCAGGGCAGGGGATGGTAAACTTCAGCCCTATAAATTCATCTCCGTTATTAGGGAATTCATTTTCCTCATCACAAAGTTTGACAATTTGAATCTGAATAAAAGTTACATGCCTCCCCAATGACAGAAACAAGCCAGTGAGATAGGTAAAGAAGGCAAAATTCAGAGATGTCCAGATGATGTGACAGCCCTAATAATCTTTTTCAAAAGCAGGATGTGTATGTGTGTGTATCCTTGACTCACTCTTATGACTACACCAAACCTTTGAAATATCCAAACTCCAGCAGTTACCCAAACTGGAAAGTGTTATACTGTCTTTAAAGTGTACTTAAAGTAGCCTTTTTTATAAATGTTCTTATGAAAAATGATACCTTTTAATTTAAAATTAATCTATGAAAAGTGGTTGCTAGGAAATGCATCTTCACATAGCAAGGGAAACGTTTTTCACAAAATGTAATTTGCTGTTGCAACCCTAAAATGACTTACTGCTTTGCAACACATGCCATCGGGCCCTCATTACCCTTTATAGTAGTGTGAGTCCTCTCTGTATGTAAATTTAAGCTACCAGTGGAACCCACATTAACTCATTTGGAAGACAAATGGCTTTAATTGCTGCTCTTATAGCCACTGTTAATTTTAGACTCCAGGATTCTGATTAGCAATAACAACTAGGAGATGCTATACAAAATAAGTGGGTCAACCCCAGCTATTTATTGCATATCACTTGTATATCAGCAACATGTCACAAAAGTCTCAGAAAAAGTTGCTGGTCCACTTGACTTGAGTAATAAGAAAATTTTAAAAGATGAATTTTCATTTTACAGTTTACTGTAAGTTCTAATTCAAAGTGTACCATATATCTGTTCACCACCAATATAGCATATTAATAAATGTTTGGTAATAGTGTTTTACACATATTTTTGTAAAGAATTATGTATTTCGGGGTTAAGGACTAATACAGTGTGCTGCTCTAGAGGACAGAGGATACAAAAATATATAAAATACTATTCCTGGACCGATAAACAGGACACACATACGGCCCAGCAAAAATAAATATATAATATATATTGTTGTTGTTGTTTGCCATTGAGTCGATACCAACTCATAGAGATCCCATCTGTGTGGGGTAGAACTGCTCCATTGAGTTTTCAAGGCTATATTTTGGAAACAGATTGCCAGGCCTGTCTTTTGAGGCACCTCTGGGCGGGCTCAAACTGCCAAACCTTTGTGCTTGCAGTCCAGCACCATTTGCCCACTGTGACTGATATTTCCCACTGTGCTACGTGAGATGATAAAGGTCTGATCAAAGTTCTAAAGAACATAGGAGAATTCCTTACAACCTCCCAGGCTGATTAGGAAAGGCTTCTTTGAGTGAATCTTTGATGAAGACAAGTAAGAATATACCATGCAGAGAAGAGACAGAATGGATATGGGATTCAAAATTAGAAGAAAAAGCAAGAGCAAAGGAAAAAATGTTTAGAAGCACATGACATATTGGGGAATCTCAAATAATTCTGTAAGCTGCATGGTAACTGTGTAATAGACAAGACAGGAACAAAACTAAATGTGAAGTTTGAATATCATAAAAGCTGTTTAAATTTTATTCTATAATTTTACTGAAATCTTTAAGAGATTTTATCCAGGAGTATGACACAATTTTAAAAGAATTTTAAAAAGCAAACAAAACACACACAAAAAATGTGGGCAGCCATGTAGACTTTAAACAGAAATGCGGAATATGAAGGGGGATATAGTTTTGTTCATCCTTACAACAGACAGTACATAATATATCCTGAGCTATTAACTATTTAAGGCTAACTAAAAAGTCCTAAACACAAAGTTGTCTATGACACACAGTCCTCTATACACACACTGAGTTCAACATTTCCTTATACACAGTATTATAATCTGCTTACGAAAGAAATGCCAAAACAAGGTTCTAATTCATAAATAAAAACATAATTTGTGAATTTAAAGGTTCACTGAGATGTATGGCAGAACAGAAGGAGGCAATACTGATTTTGGTGTTTAAAAAATGTAGTTAGAGGGGAAGAAAAATTGAGCTGGAAAACACCTTCCATTTTCAGTTGTTGTATTTGCTACTGGTGATAAGGCTACAACAAGTACTACAAATCATGCCAGATGGGCGGAGCTCACAAATTCCTTGACCTTTGGAGGAAAATTACTTCTGAAGAGGCATTTCATGAATTGCTAATTTCTCTATGCCAATCAATCAGCTAAGGGACTGATCTATCACTGCAATGGTGGGCTTCAACCATGGTAAGCCACTACTGGGCTTTGCATGCTGTTTACTTGAAAACAAAACTCAAGTTGATTTGAACTTTCCAAAAATTCTTTCTATTCTTAAGTTGATACTGAAAGAACAATTACTCAGAAATAGTGTTGTTGTTGTCGTTGTTGTTGTTACATGCCGCCCACTCAGTTTCAACTCATAGCAGCCCTATGCACAACAGAATGAAACAATGCTTGGTCCTGTGTCATCCCCACAATCGTTGTTATGCTTAAGCCCAATCTTGCAACCACCATGTCACTACATCTCATCAAGGGTCTTCCTCTTTTTCACTGACCCTCTAATTTACCAAGCATGATATCCTTCTCCAGGAACTGATCCCTCTGGATAACATGACCAAAGTACATGAGACAAAGCTTTGCCATCCTCACTTCTAAGGAGCATCCTGGCTGTACTTCTTTCAAGATAGATTTGTTCATTTTTCTGGCAGTCACAACTTCAAACTTTTCTCCATTTATCATGATGTTGCTTATTGGTCCAGTTGTGAGGGTTTTTTTTTTTTCTTGTTGAGGTGTAATCCATACTGAAGGCTGCAGTCTTTGATCTTCATCAGTAAATGCTTCAAGTTCTCTTCTATTTCAGCGAGCAAGGTTGTGTCATCTGCATATTTATCGCAGGTTGTTAATAAGTCTTCTTCCAATCCTGATGCCGTGTTCTTCTTCATATAGACCAGCTTTTCTGATTATTTACTCAGCATACAGATTAAGTATAGCAAAATAATACAACTGTGATGCACACTTTTACTACTTTTCAGACAGTATCCCCTTTTTCTGTTCGAACAACTGCCTCTTGGTCTATGTACAGATTCCTATGAGCACAACTAAGTGTTCTGGCATTTCCATTCTTTGCAATGTTATCCATAATTTGTTATGATCCACACAGTTGAATGTCTTTGCATAGTCAATAAAACACAGGTAAACACCTTTCTGATAGGCTCTGCTTTCAGCCAAGTTCCATCTGACATCAGCAACAATATCTCTCTTTCTACGTCCTCTTCTGAATCCAGTTTGGCTTTCTGGCCGTTCCTGTTGATGCACTGCTACAATCATTTTCAAATTATCTTCAGCAAAATTTTACTGTGTGTGAGATTATTGATATTGTTCAATAATTTCCACATTCTGTTGGATCAACTTTCTTCCAGACGGTTGGCCAGGTAGCTGTCTTCCAAATCTGTTGGCAGAGACAAGTAAGCACTTCTAGTATTACATTCATTTGCTGAGACATCTCAGTTGGTATTCTGTCAATTTCTGGAGGCTTGTTTTTCGCCAGTTCCTTCAGTGCAACTTGGACTTCTTCCTTCAATACCATCGGTTCTTGAATGTATGCTACCTCCTGAAATAGCTGAACGTCAACCAATTCTTTCTGGTACAGTGGCTCTGTGTATTCCTTCCATCTTTAGATGCTTCCTGCCTTGTTCAATATTTTGTCCAATGAATCCTTCAATATTGCGACTCAAGGCCTGGATTTTTTCTTCAGTTCTTTCAGCTTGATAAATGCCAAGCATGTTCTTCCCTTTTGGTTTTATAACTCCAGGTCTTTGAACATTTCATTGTAATACTTTACTTTGTCTTCTCGAGCTGCCCTTTGAAATCTTCTGTTCACCTCTTTTCCATCATCATTTTTTCCATTCACTTTAGCTACTCTACACTCGAGCAAGTTTCAGAGTCTCTTCTGACATCCATTTTGGCCTTTTCTTTCTTTCCTGTCT